AGTTTCCGATCGAGAAGCCTGCGCCGAAGCTGCGACGGTCCGGCCGAGCTCGACGGCCGCCGGAGAAGCTGAGCTACCACGCCTGCCTGCCACCAGCTGCCTTCACCACGGTGTACGACGAGGTCGACGACGACCTGTTGTACGACGACGCCGAGGAGGATGAAGACCTGCCGGAGCTCGACCCTGACATGCATGCCGACCCCGAACATCGCTGGGACATCGCGACGATGACAGTGAAGGAGGCTCTGGCGAGCTGGAAGGGTCCAGCGGTGAAGGCCGCCATGGAGGAGGAGATCTGCAGCCTCATCGGCATGGGCACTTGGGAGCTGGTCGAACGCCCACGCGGAGTGAACATCATGAAGAACCGGTGGGTGCTGACGACCAAGTACCGCATCGACGACACCGTCGAGCGCGAGAAGGCGAGGCTGGTCGTGAAGGGCTTCACGCAGGTGTACGGCGCCGACTACGACAAGACGTACTCGCCGGTGAGCAGCTACGTCACGCTAAGCATCTTCCTCGGCATCATCGCTGTCCTCGACCTCAACCTGATGCAGCTCGACATGAAGAACGCCTTCCTGCAGAGCAAGCTCGACAGGGTGCTCTACATGTACCAGCCGGACTACTTCGACGATGGAACCGGCCGGGTGTGTAAGCTGCTGAAGAGCCTCTACGGGCTGAAGCAGTCGCCGCTGCTGTGGTACAGGGCTCTCGACGGTGTGCTGCTGGGCGCTGGCTGGAAGAAGAGCCAGGTCGACGAGGCTCTCTACTTCAAGACCGGCGACGACAGTGTGACCTGTTGGGTGTTGGTCTACGTCGACGACCTGCTCGCCGCCAGCAGCAGCACCGCGATGCTGAAGGAGCTGAAGGAGCTGCTGGAGGCTGCCTTCGAGCTGCGTGAGATCTCGCCGGTGGTGAAGTACCTTGGGCTGGAGATCGTGCGCGACAGGCCGGCAAGGAAGCTGTGGCTGCACCAACAGAACTACGCCGACAAGCTGCGTAGGCGCTTCATCGACGAGGAGCAAGGCGGGCGCATCCCGAAGACGCCGGTCTCGGTCGACGCCTATGCCGAGCTGACGTTCGACGACGAGGAGGCCCAGGAGCGCGAGGAGGAGGAGTACCGGCAGAAGGTCGGCTCGCTGCAGTTCGCGGCGACAACGACGAGGCCGGACATCGCCTTCGCCTGTAGCAAGCTGGGGAGCGGCCTCACGGTGAGGAGCGACCAGCATTGGCGCGAGGTCGACCGCTGCCTCGCCTACGTCGCCGACACCCGCGACACCGCCTTGGAGTTCGGCGGTGGACCAGAGTCGCTGGAGCTGATCGGCTACGTGGATGCCGACGACGCGGGCGACAAGCAGAAGCGGACGAGCACGGGCGGCTACGTGTTCGTCTTCGGAGGGGCCGCGGTCTCCTGGTCGAGCCAGCGCATCAAGTGCGCGACGCTTTTCTCGACCGAGTCGGAGTACGTCGCGGCCACGGACGCCGGCAAGGAGGGGCGTCGACTTCGCTTCCTCCTTGCAGAGTTCAAGCTGCTCGACCCTGGGAAGCCGACTGTCCTCCGCGTGGACAACAAGTCGGCGATCACTGTCGCTGAGGGCATGGGGCTGACGGGCAACCTCAAGCACATGGAGCGACGCTACGCCTGGCTGCAGCACATGGTGAGGCGCGGGAAGTTCGCGCTGAAGTACATCCCGACCACCGAGCAGCCGGCCGATTTCCTGACGAAGGCGCTGCATTTTCCGGCTTTCAACCGGTGCTCTGTCGCCATCGGCCAAGTTCGCCTGGCCGACGTCGGCGACGGCGACGATGAGGTGCAGCAGTAGGTGCCATGCCCTTCTGCACGGCTGGTGCGGTGACGGCGTGCTGTGTGTGGGGTGCACGCCGACGACGAATTTTCTCCGTGAAGTACTTCCGTGTGGGCTTGAGGCCCAAGCGTGAGCGCGGCAGGGGAGTGTTAACGGGAATGGAGTGTTGGCCCCGCCCTCGCTTGGGCAACGCCGACGACTTGGTCGGATGTACGGGAGTAGCAGCCGACCGTCCACAGTGGGAGAGCTGCTCGACAGGCTACGTCGAGCTGCAGGGGACCGCTGTGGCGTTGCTGTCGACCAGGGAGCTCGACAGCTGCAACTGACTGGCCTGGGCGACGGGTGGGCCGTCCGGGAGGTCGATAGAGCATCCCGTCGACCTACAGTTCGACGGGGAGGTCTGCGGAGCATCCCGTCGACCTACAGTTCGACGGGGAGGTCTGCGGAGCATCCCGTCGACCTGCAGCTCGACCGGGAGGTCCGCGAAGCATCCCGTCGACCTGAAGCTCGACCGGGAGATCCGCGAAGCATCCCGTCGACCTGCAGCTCGACCGGGAGGTCGACGGAGCAGTTCTGGTCGACGGAAGGGGTCCGTCGACCAGGGGGTAGCTCGACGGGAGTCGTGGTCGACCAGGGGCACCTAGTGGTCGACCAGAGGGGGCTGTGGTCGACCAGAGGCACTTGGTGGTCGACCGGAGGCACCGGTGGTCGACCGGAACATCTGGTGGTGTCCAGGTCGACCGGGTAACCTGCTCGACGAGTTCTGCGGAGGCACGCGAACGTCGTCGAGGTCGCGATGGCGAAGGCGACTTCGGGCTGGTATCCCGAAGTCGATGTGGCTCGTCAGGCGCAGACAACAGCCGACGGATGCCCAACGAGGCAAGTCGGGCCAATCGTCTGCGCGCACCTGCGAGCGTGTCCACTGCTGTGTCCTACGGAGCAACGCTAGACAGCCGCTCCGTTGCAGCGCGACCTGCAGTGTTGGCAGGTCGCTCTTCTGCAGTGCTGGCGCGGCTCCTCTACGCAACGCTGGCAGGCGGTCGACCATGCAGTGCTGGCGGTCGACCAGGCTAGCTGCAGAGTTGCTAGGTGCCTGATGTAGTCATTCTGTCATTGCTTGTTCAATCATTCTGTATTCTCAACTTTGCTAGTGGAAACTCTTGCCAATTTCTCCCGTGAATGTGCAAGCACTAAGCAACCAAGCAAAGCTACGATCACTCCTAGTAGTTCGTGCCAACCCCCGTAGTCTAGCTCACTACCGTTGTAGAGTGAATCTCCGCAGCGCCTGCGTCAACTGCGGGCACCAGCGCCTCCGCCAGCGTCAGTAGCTCCGTACCCCACCCCTTCCTTTCCCTTCCGTGGCTTCTACGGTGGAGGGGGGGAGGGAGACGTGGGGGTGGCGGGTGTGAGCATCCTGCAGCCCGTCCCTCCCCTCCCTCTTCCTCTCTCCCTGCAGCAGTCGTTGCTGGGGGGGGGGGGAGGAGAGAGGTTAAGGGGGGAGATGAGGGGGTGGCGGGTGTGAACCCCCAGCAACCGCCACTGCTACTGTGGCACCTACTTCTGCAGCCCCTGACGCCACTCTCTCTTCGTTCGTCTTTCTTTGCTGTTGAGCTGCAGGCGTTGCCGTTGAGCCGTGCGTTGCCGCCACCCTTTCTAGCCGCATGCACTTGCTCTCCAGGCTACCTGCGCCACATGCACCTTCTCTTTGTTTCTTTCTTGCCTCAGGGCTTACTGCAGCTGTCTCTGCCACTACTGCACTGGTTGTCATTGCTCTTGCGTGCTGTTGCTTTGAGTACACCTGAAGGTTGTGATTTGCACTTTGTTATTCCTGCATGCAGTTAAGGGGGGATGTCAGAAATACATTATTTTAACTGCTTGTAGATCTAGCAGTAGTGTAGTTATCACATTTTCCTATTCGGTGGTTTACCCCCTTTCCTCCCCTATTTGTACCCTTGACTCTATAGTGAAACCCCCTTCTCCTTGTACTAAAATCTCTCGACACCCTTCCTCTCAACCCTTGCCATGGCTCTAAAGCCACTACCTAAGTCCTCCTTTTTTACAACTGGGTATCCGTGACTATCCGGCAACAGTGCAAGCGCAAAAGCTATCGGAGTCGGGCAAGTTTAATTTAATAAACTTTGCAACCAACCGCTTTGCAGCCCACCGTACCAGTCACACCCGTGCCACTAAACTACCCTGGAAAAGCGGGGTGAACTAGGAAAGTAGCTCTGATACCAGGTGTTATGAGTTGTCAAACAGGTTTGCGCGGAAAACGAATAACGAACCTGTGACACTATCAATTGACAATACAATGAGAGGCAGACGATTATATAGCGAGATAACCTAGCTAGGCGAGAACTTCAGGAATACGAGGCTGGGTGCAGATTGGGCAAAGGAAAAGCCGAAGGCGAAGCGAGGTTGCTTCGGCAGCAAGCAAAGTGGCCGAACGTGCACTTCCGAAAGTTGGGGTTGTACGCGGTTGAGTAAACCCCAGTAAGGAAAAAGGGTTTTTCCTTGCAGTTTGTTCCACGTTCGTTATGAATGTTTCATAGTGGTGCGTAACTGGTGAAATCTGGAACCGCACCCAAATCGTGAACGTTCTCGACCACGTAATACACCTGACGAAAAACGATGACATGTTTGAGGGCCAAGGGAACACCGTCTACGGGGATCCGATTGAAGGCATCGACAGTTAGGGCGCGTAACTTTTTCCGTTTCGGACAAATGTCCGGACGGGGGCCCCAAAACGTCCGAACGGAGCTCCGACCGGACGGTTGGGGATGTGGTACGGACGACGATGAGTCCGTACCCCTATTATGACACTTTTTTGCTCTTGCGAAAACTGCATTTTGAGCGAAACAGTAACGCTTATAACCCACCTCGTCAGCGAATCGGCCGCTTCGCATGCATGAAGGTGTGTCAGAAAAAAGCCGGACTGTAGAGAGTTCGCTTTTTTGTAGTGCTGTGAGTCTGTGTGCCCGTTCGGACGATAGTGGAACTTCTGTGTTGCCTTTCCGTCAGAACGTGGTTCTGGCGAGCAGGAAACCGAGTCGCCAGAACTGATAAAAATGTGCTTCGCGCACCAATGACGTACGGGTCCTCCGTCCGGACGATGAAAAGTGAAAAAGTTACGCACCCTTATTTTGGTCAACGGTATTGGCGGGTTTGCAGCCCACGCTTTCGCGGTTTCCAGTTTCCATGTGTCTGGTTCGCAAGCCGCAGCGGGACCCCGTCGTGGGCGACTTGTTGGTCCTCATCGCGCGAGCCGCATACAACATCGTCAATCGCAGAACGTGATGGTGCCAAACGTGTGCAACACTTCGAAAAGGGTTACAGTACAACTTTCGCTGTGGCCGACAGGTTGACTTGGGTTGGATGGCAGAAATCGACACCGTGTTTGTGGACAACGCGCAGAAATGATCGCGAGCTTCGCATGCCTGCTACCACTTCGCAACAAATCCGCCGTCGCAACCTGGGCCATCAGGATCTCACACGCCTAAGGATTTCTCGAGCTTGCAGCGGCGCTGGTGGAAGCAAATTGGCTGCTTGAAGTATACTCAAAGCTATGGAGGTGATTGACCGAACACGCGAAGTTTGCTTTTATCGACCGTACTACTTGAATGCATCAATTCTGTCGCGACGTCGATACCGCGCCTCCGCCTTCCCTGGCTCTTAGACTCGTGATTGCACTGAACATTCTGTATTTCCTTGCGTTTTTTAGAGTTTTCTTAGAGTTTCTTTAGTCGGGACGTCGAGACACGTTATCGTCTGTTCGATCTTTTCTCCACGCTAGTCGTTCCGTGCCTCAGCGTTCCCCAGCGAGCTCGCCGCATGGCGAGCCATACGGTTACGAACGCAGGTGCGTTTATAGAAACGGAGCAAACTGGCAACGATTCGTTCTGCTGTTAAAGTAGGCGCAATGATCAAGCGCCCTGTGCTCTAGCGCCCCTGGTCCGAACAGATGTTAGCATTTTGCGCCTCGCCTTGCTTTTGAGAACTAACAGAAGTGGTGCAATCATAATCCGCATTCCATCACACTTTCTCCTTTCCCGCTCCTGCGACCTTTTTGCGATAGCGTCGAGTCCCCCAGTGCCTCACCGGGAGGCGCGGTTGAGTCTTTTGAGCCGAACCCCCAGTGGCTCAACGGGGCGAGTCTTTGAGTGCATCAGTCATCCCAGCACGTTAGCACTCGTATTCGACCTTGGTTGCGATGTGCCTTGCCTCCTCTCCGGCCTTGTGCGTGCGTCTCTCATTCCTCACATGCCGTTGAATCCCCATGTAATCCTTTTTTTTGTTTTAAATTAATTTGTGATTATATCTAGTGGCAGCCACTCCTTTTCAAAAGGGCGGGAAGCTGTCAGAGAATGGGAAAAGCGTTCTTGAATGGCCTCGCGTGAGCCCTCCGCTACTCGCGGTGCTCAACGCGCTGCTGCTGGCGCTCGTGGTGGTCGAGGTGTGGCCGCAATTCGCGGGCGACGGGCCCACGTGGGGAACACGCGGCACGTGGGGTGTGCAGCAGCCAATAGAAGCGCTGCTGGGCTCGCCCGGTGTAGCAAGAGGACATCACGACGGCAACAGGTTTGTAAACACTTTCTGTTCGAATGAGCCATGCATGACTGAGCGCATTCCGCCCTAATTCCTCCCCGACTTGCGCATTTCGCCCCAATCCCTCCCCATGCGCGCAATCCGTCCCCATGCGCGCATTCCACCCCCACATGCGCATTCCGCCCCAAATTCGTCCCCGTGTGCGCATCTCCAGTCCATTCCGCCTCATCTCAAGGCAAATACCAAATACCATATCTACTCCCTTCTGTCTCGTCTGGACTAACCTGTCGCCCATTTCCCCCCGCTTCTTCCAACACGCCCCTCTTCCGCGCCCCTCCTCCTCTGCGCCCCTCTTCCGCGCCTCTCCTCCTCTGCGCCCCTCTTCCGCGCCTCTCCTCCTCTGCGCCCCTCCCCTGCGCCGGTCCCCCGCGCCTCTTCTTCATGGCTATCTCATCTCCTCTTGCCGCCCACCCCGCGGGGCCCTTCCATTCCGTTGGCAGTAGCGCCACGCGAGCACCGTCACACGCTGCAGATCGTCCATCCAATGCCGCCCATGCTCCATTCTATGCCTCCCTAGAACAGGAAATTTGCTGGTCATCAGGTACTATTTGCTTTCCCCACCTGCCTTTTGGGCCGAGTAGAAAGTCCCCTAGCCGACGTAGAAGTCAACCCCCTCCGTCCAATGCCACCCTATAACAGGTCATTTGCGGGTACTATGTGCTTTCCCTCATGTCCCTCTTGTCTTTGCTCACTCGTTCGCTGGCATGCATGCCTTCTTTATGTGTGTTTTTTAGTCGACTCAAAGCACGCGTTCATGTGTTTCGCCTTCACCAGCTTTCTGTGTTGCATCTGCCGCCGTGCTGCCTGCTCCCCCTGCCGTGCTTTCTGTGGTGCATCTTTGCTCGCTCGCTTCCTCCACTACATTCTCGCGTTGCTCGAATTAAGGTAGCGCGAGAAAGGCTAGAGGCAGAGCGAGGAGGGCTAGAGGCAGTGCGAGGAGGGCTAGAGGCAGTGCGAGGAGGCAAAGGCAGAGAGAAAGTAAGCAAGTGATTCATAGACACTTGGCTTTCCCCTTTTTGCCCGAATCCCTCACAGAACCCGTGGTTACCAGCAGCATACGACCAGCAGCAGCAGCAGCAGTAGTAGCAGCAGCAACAGGAGAAGCAGCAGAAGCAGCAGCAGCAACAGGCGGGGTGGTGGTGGGCGGGAGGGGATGCAGGCGCTGCGTGCGGGGCGAGCAGTGCAGCTTTCACGTGTGGGTGCAGCCGCCTGCTCACTGGGTGTTGCCCCCTGTGGATAATGCGAGCAGTGAAAGGGAGACCAGTGGAGAGGGGGGGAATAGCGGAGAGGGGGAGAGCAGCAGCAGCAGCAGCGGCGGCATGGAGCCGAGCTGGTGGAAGAAGGATGTGACGCTGTCTCTGCTGGGGCCTGCCCTGGGCCACGGGGAGGTGCAATGCCTCGACCCCCCTGCCTGCTCGCACCTCCGCATCTCCTATCGCTTGTGGGACGTGGGGACTTACAGGTGAGAGCCTAACTAGTGGAAGAATGACAGTGCTTTCCCCTTGCTGGCCCTTCCTTGGGCCATGACGAGGTGCAATGCCTCGACCCCCCTGCCTGCTCGCACCTGCTCGCGTCCTACCACCTGTGGGATGCAGGAGGTGAGAGCTCAGCGAGTACTTGCACGCACAGGTGGTGGAACGAAGTGTACAGGTGGGTCAAGCACTGGTGTTGCTGGCATAGGCACGCACTGTTGGTGCAAGCACAGGCGCGCACTGTTGGTACAAGCACAGGTGCGCACTGGTGGTGCAAGCACAGGCACGCACTGCTGGTGCAAGCGCAGGCACGCACTGTTGGTGCAAGCGCAGGCACGCACTGCTGGTGCAAGCGCAGGCGCACAGGCGCGCACTGGTGGTGACTTCTGAGTCGACTCAAAAGTCAACGTGGTGCAAGCACCTTCTCGTCTTCTTTGGTCTCTGAGGATCTACAGCAGTGAGTGGGACGGTTACCACTCTCTGCCAGTGTCATTAGCTCAGCCATGCTGCAGCCATTGCTGCCCACGTGCTGCCCACGTGCTGCCCACGTGCTGCCCACGTGCTGCCCACGTGCTGCAGCCATTGCTGCCCACGTGCTGCTCCAGGTATGCACCTGCTTCACCCTTTGCCTATCCCGTCGGTGCTTCTGCACCACTTGCTGTCGATGCCCCCCTTACCCCTCCTTCTGCTCCTCCTCCTCTCCCCCTCCATCCCCTTTCCTCTTCCTTCTCCACTGCCTCCTCTCACACTCCCTCCGTTTGGCTTTTGAGGCGCCTCAGAAACTAATCACTATGCCCCCTTCTCTCACATTCTCTGCTGTTCCCCTCCCCCCTCCTTTGCCTCACCTCTTTTCCCCTCCCCATGCTCCCCCCGAACTCCGCACATGCCCGTCTGTCCCTATCCCCCTCCCCACTGCAGTGCAACACTTCATGTGGGTTGCGCCAATCTCAACTTCTCACCGGCCTTTGCTGCCCATTTCAACTCCACCTACCGCCATGACCTTGCCACGTGGAGCCTCTCCATTGGCTGGCTAGAATCCGTTTCCGAGAAGATTCATGGCTTTGCAGGTGCTTCTGCAACTGCTGATGCTGCTGCTGGTGGTGCCAATGCTGGTAGCAATGGCGATGATGCTGGGGATAGTGGCGAGGCTGCTTATTCCAGAGGAGCAGATGCTTCTGATTCTTCTGATTCGGGTGCTGCAGCTGCTGCCGATGATGATGTTGATGGTGGTGACAGTGCTGCCAGGTCATCGTCAGAAGATAGGGTCCTTCTGAATGACGTGGCAGCTGGTGATGAGGCACTTGGAGAAGGTGATACCACCTCCACAGATACTACCCTTCCAGATACCACCTCCCCAGATACCACCGCCCCAGATACCACCTCCCCAGATACCACCGCCCCAGATGCTACCTCTCCCAGCAAGCTGCCCTCTCCCTGTGCACTCTCTTCTATCCCCGGTCGGTGGACCCAGACACACAGTGGCAAGTACATGTGAGTCGCCTCCCGCGCCCCCTGCCTCCCCCCTCGCCCCTTCATGTGCCCAGGCCATGTCTCCTGTGAAATAATCCACCAGCAAATGCACGGCTGGGATTGTGCTTTCTGCTGCATTACTGGGTGGTGGCAGAAGCCACACCGTAGCAAGGCAAGCACATGTGCGTAGCTGTTGCCCCCTTGTGACCTTGCTGCCTGACGAATCCCTTGCACCCTCCCTCCCTCACTCTCTTACCACTTGTCACCCCCATTGCTTTCCCCCCTTCTCTCCTGCACCACTGCAGCTGGGCCTTCTTCCCCTGTGCACCAGCAGAGTCGCCTCCCAGCCGTTGGATCGAGCAGCTGGCAAGCAGGGGCATCCGCGAGATCAACATAGCGGGCGACTCCCACCAGCGGGTGCTGGCGCTGCACCTGCACTGGCTGCTCTCAGGGGAGGCGGACAAGCGCATCCGCAAGGGGCACTCGGACTTCAGCAAGGAGTCGAGGAATGAGCGCAACGAGACGATGCGGATCAACTTCTACTGGGTGGATGGGATTTACCGGAATGATGAGTTTGGATGCAGGTGCGTGTGGCGCTGGGTGGATGGGAGGGAGGGTTGTCAGGTGAAACGAGGGTCGGTGGAGGAATGAGACGATGAGAATCAACTTTTACTAAGTGGATGAGATTTTTCGGGATGATGACTTCGGGTGCAGGTGCGTGTGGTTACTGGGCGGGAGGGAGGGTGAGGGAGGAATGTGCATTGTATTGAGTAATGCTATATCAACCTCCCCCCCCCCTTCTCTCTGCTCTCTCTGCATCCCCGCTCAATACCCCTCTACAAACCGCAGTCACCGGGGAGTCTTCACTCATCGCAACACCACGTTCCCAACCAACATGTCCACCACAGCTGACGTCACCCTTCTAGAAGCAGGCTATTGGATGAACAAGTGGTGCACAGAGCCAGTCCAAGCCATGCGAGCCCACCTCTCAGAGTACCTCAATTGGGGATTGCAGTTTGCCGCCCAATTTGGGAAGCTAATAGTGTTGCGCACGGCGCCTCCAGTGCCGAATGGGGGTGACCATTGTTTCGTGGGGTCGTATCCCGGGCCGGCTACCAACCTGGCACTTATGGAGATCAATCGGTTGATGCGTCAACTTACAGCGAGTGGGAAGGTATATGGTGGTGGTGCTAATGTGTTGGGCAAGAAAAGAGCAGATAGTGCAAATGAAACAGGTTACAGTGAAGCTGATGCGGACCCAGCTGAGCCGTGGGACGACGCGTCAATATCGAGGGCGTTTACAGTTGATGGGAAGCGGCAGGCATCAACGGTGCCGGTTTTTGATTCGTGGAAGATCGAGGCGCCTCGGTACATGGACGTGTGTCCAAAAAAGGATCACCACTATTCATGCTATCGAGAATTTGCAAACAGAAAAGCAAAGATTCGAGGTGTAGTAGGGGAGGCTGTTGCGCGTGCATTGGTACACTTCCTACTCCACAACCTGTAAATTTCTATTTCAGATTTCATTGTATCCCATCATTCTTGTTGGAAACATATACGGTACCGTAGTTTGCGGTTCTGATGCGTCGAGCGCTATAACGTGAGCGAAGCGAACGCACAACGAAGCAACAGCGAGTCAACCGAACAACAGCGAAGCAGTTGACAAGAGAAGGTAACAGCAAGAGGTTAGGTTAAGCGAAGGTCTAAGGGCAGCGACCTTTGACTCACCGAAAACAGCGCGACGGCAAGGATACACAACTGACTCGTTATTCAGCAGTTGCTTCAGCAGTTGCAACAGTTACCGTAGTTAAACGTTTCGTATTCTTGTAATCATATAAAAGCTTTGTATTTTCTTGCTATAATTGACTTTTCTAGTTCTTACATACTAGTGCAAGGTGGTTCAATCAGTTCACTAGAACGCTTCTGCTAATACATCATTATCATAAGTCCTAGTCTTGAAAAACGATCCTAAGGGCTTTTTCTCAGCCCAACATGGTATGAGAGCTAGCAAGACAAGATACAACCTCTTTCAACCTCTTACAACAACAGAAGACATGGCAACACAGAAGGAGAGAAGTTCATCTACTGGATCTCCCGGCACTACTCCTACTCCACCTCCAGCCTCTGGATTACAAACAGAGGGAAACTAAACTCAAAGACCAGATGCTGAATCTACTGAAGCACCCGTTAATCAAGCCACCAGCTTCGACCCAAGCATGATGGAGAAAAATTTCTCCTTCATGTCATTCTACGAGCAACAACCACCAACGGCACCTACAACAGCAGTCAAACAACAGCGACAATAACAACGGTGTTACTCCCATGAGTCTTGATGGCTCATCTTTTGCGCGCAGAAATCAGCAGCCTACCTTCGCATCGTATGAGCCTCAACGTGGCTCCATCAGATTTATGCCAAATCGGCCTCCACCTGGACAAGAGACGAAGACACCGGTGTCAGAATCCCAGCCACTAACCACTGGGATAAAAGGGCTTGTTTGTGTAGCGGGTGAGTGCGCCCATAATCCCCCAGGCCAACGTGCCTGTAACCCTTCCCTAGGATCAATCGGGGATCACCAGTGGACCTCTGACACCCCCCCGCACTGGGATGCCCGAGGTGCACACACCGGGATTCGAACCTGAGACCTTCGCTCTGATACCATGTCAAAATCCCAGCCACTAACCACTGGGATAAAAGGGCTTGTTTGTGTAGCGGGTGAGTGTGCCCATAACCCCCCAGGCCAACGTGCCTGTAACCCTTCCCTAGGATCAATCGGGGATCACCAGTGGACCTCTGACAACTGGATGCACTTCAGATGCAGTCGCAGTTCGCACACGTTCTAATGCTGCAAACGACAACACCATTCGACAAGAAAGACTTCTATACCTGGTCTTTTGAATTCGAGCTGATGATGGAATGTGCTCAAATTCTTGGCTTCTTCGACGGTTCCCTGCCATTTCCAACACACGAATCACAGTACCACAAGCAGCAGTTCACATATCAGTCACTAATGGCGTACACCATCCTCCTGCAAAACATAACGGCAAACGAGCAGCAGAACATTGGATCTTATCGCGGATACGGTAACTCCGCTGAGCTCGCGTACAACCACCTGAAGAACCTGTATCAAGCAAACGACAGCGTTAATCAGAGTCGTCTCATGGCGCAATTGACAACAGTCCAAATGCAACTCGGCGAAAAGGGGATGGCATATATCAGTCGCTGTCGCGGTCTGCGTGACAGACTCAATCGATGCAGTGGAACATTATCCAAAGACGCCTTCATCACAGTCGTCATCGCATGCCTCGGTCCTCAATGGCGCTCTACACGGGCCATCCTTCGAGCTCACGGAAGACTTTCAGAAGCGAATCTCTGCGCCGAAATTCACGTTAAGACATGGACCTGCACGAAGAACGACACAGGAAACATGCATCAGTATCAGAGTTCATTTTTCACACGCAGCAATGATACAAGAACAACAACAATCAACAACACGAGCACCAAGCACGAAGACACGTACCACCATTCTGTCACCTCTGCCAAACGTCTGGTCATTCTCGCATCCACTGCCCAAATCAGCATCAGTCAACGCCACCGCGACGACAACTTCGACCTTCAAGCAGTCAGGTGGCTTCCACACAGCCACAACCTCCCAGTCAAGTACAACCTTCAACGTCACAACCTGCAGGAGGAGCAAGAAACATCGTAAGCTGCATGGTAAGAATGGACTCCTGCGTCACTAAATCACCACCGACCTATTCATCGGAAGAACTACTCCACGAAAGTACTCCTCGTCGCGAACCACTAGAGCCGAATCCGACGTATGCAGCAAATGCTCAGAGCGAACCGTCAGGGAAAGACACTTGGTTCTTGAACAGCTGCTGCGGACAACACATGTGCTCCTCGAATCGCTTAGTTCAACGGGAACAACGCCTCAACCGCGAAGTCGTAATAACCGTCGCCAACAACCAGAGAGTACATTCTGCTCATCGTCGATGTAGATGATCTGCTCTACATAGGTTCCATCGACGGCATCACCACCAGGTTTGAAGGGGATCTGCAGCAGGATCTCACACTTACCGTCTCCTCCACCGTAACCCGATACCTAGGACTCAACATACTCGACGGAAAAAACACGATCTACCTCAGCGCCGCGAAATACGCCGACACCATCGCAAAATGCTTCGGATTAACCCCATCTGCCATCTCTACGCCGTATCGCTAAATCGCGGAAAACCACAAGGGAGAGACTGCTCCACTCGGACCTGCCGGCCTACGCAACTACCAGCGGAAGCTAGGATGCCTACTCTTTACAGCCGTCACCTCCTGACCGGACCTGTCGTACTCAGCAAGCCAACTAGCCACCTTCCTCAAGCGACCTGAAGCATAGCACATGGCGGAGCTCGACCGCGAGCTACACTGCCTCGTTAGCACACCAGCAATCGGTCTAACCTATCACAAGACTGGAACCTCGACTCCAAGGCTGATCGGCTACGTGGATGCCAACCATGCTGGCGACTCCGACAACAGGCGATCGCGCACCGGCTACATCTACCGACTCGAGCCCGTCGGTCCTATCTCGTGACAGTCAAGCAAGCAAGAGCTTATTTCTCTCTCCTCAGCTGAATCAGAATATATTGCACTTTGCTCAGCCAACAAGGAAGGACTGTACCTTCACGAACTACTCGAAGAAGCAAAGCTGGCCCAGTTACCCAGCTTCTCTCTCTTTTGCGACAACCAATCTGCAATTCGCATAGCGAACAAGAACGGGTTCGCGAATCGAATGAAGCACATCGCAATGCGATACTTCTTCGTGAAAAACAAAATCGAGAAAGGGAGACTCGGGCTATCCTACTGCCCCACATCCGAGATGGCAGCTGCAGAATACTTGACCAAGAACCTCGGAAAGAAGAAGTTCGAGTACTGCATGCTGCTGACTGGACAAGGCCACGTCACCAGCAACAAGGGCGACGGCACTCTAGAAGCGAAGGGGAGTGTTGGAAACATATAGTTTGCGCTTCTGATGTGTCGAGCATTATAATGTGAGCGAAGCAAAATCACAACGAAGCAACAGCGAGTCAACTGAACTACAGCGAACGGTTGACAAGAGAAGTAACAGCAAGAGGTTAAGCGAAGGTCAAAGGTCGGTGACCTTTGACTCACCGAAAACAGCGAGACAGCAAGAACACACTACTGACTCGTTATTGAGCAGTTGCCCGAGTCGTCGCTGTATCGAACCGCAATGGCAACAGTTAGTTAAGCCTCTCGTATTCCTTTCATAACAAAGCTTTGTATTTCCCTGCTATAATTAACTTATCTTGTTCTCACATACTAGTGCAGGGTGGTTCAATCAGTTCACTAGAATGCTTTCGCTAATACATCATTATCTTAAGTCTTAGTCTTGAAAAATGATCCTAAGGGCTTTTCTCAGCCCAACAATTCTCACACGTCCGCATGTTTATATATCGCAATCTGCAGACGAGAAGTGCAGCCCCTGAGATTTCAACCTCTTTACCAGCCATGGCTGATATTCCCCTGAGATCCTTGTTTGTAACTTGTCTGTGTCAGCATTTTGTTTCCCTGAGTGCACGCTGGTCGCTCAAGTTTTAATGTGTTGAACCTTATGCTGAATTTGCAAAATGTGTTTTCCCTTTCCCACACCCATCACTGCCCGACCCTAATCTCCCACCCAGCCCCTTTTTTTCCTCGAACCTTCCCTTAGCCCAACTGTTCAAGTTGACCCCCCCCCCAAGCGCACCTGTTCAAGTCGCCCCTCAACCCAACCCACATGTTCTGTACAAGGCATAAGCAAGTTTCTTTGGGTGCAAGTGGAAGGAGCGACAATTACTTAGGTGGGCTACGAGCGGGAGGGGGGGGGGGTTTCAAACTTCCGTGTACACCCTGCTGGTTCGGCTTGCATAGGGTGTTGATCTGGTTTGGTGGCTTTGCGGGCCAGTTTTCAATTTTGTTGTTTACTGTGAAGACCAAAATCTGCTTAAAACCTCTGCTACATTCAAAATATTGCAAGACACAGCGAATCACTCGGAAAATGGCCTGAACTTTAGCTATAAAGGTAATAGCGCCATTTAATTTCGTGCCGATTCGCAGTACGATCCGTTAGATTGTGTTCCTTGCTTCGTCTAACAATTTAACAACAGTCTACGTCATGATTGATTATGACTGTATCAACAATATAGTGTATTTTAGTGACCTGGATTGCGTGCTCTGTTCAGGTGCTGGCGCTCTATTGAGCTAGGAAGGCTGGAGCTAGAACAATTGGAGCTGAAACAACTCGTGTAACACCTCGCTACCCACTGGGTCAAAACGAGGGTTATATTTGAGGCGCAGCGGATGCACTCATACCCTTACGTGTAAGCCCCGCAGGAGGCATTACAGCTGGACCTAGAATGGTTGGAGCGATAAATGGCTAGAGTTGAAACGGCTGGAGCGAGAAAAGCCGAAACGAGAACGGCTGGAGATAGAATGGTTGGAGCTAAAACGGCTGGACC